GAAGAAAGCACAGTATTTATATTTCAAAGAGTCTGAAGCAAAATTTCTGTAGAGGGATTCTTTGGCTCAGGTTGAAATTTCCTTTCCCATGACATTATTCTTAGTTAATGTAGTAAAATAACATATAGGGCCTTTGTGGTCTTGAATGCATACTAATTATGAAGAATTTTATGCTAGAACATCGTTGGTAAGCTTGTATCTTGCAGATACTAAGAAGCTAACACATTGTAAGTATATATTCCTAATGTGTCAGATGGTATAAAATGCTGGATATGAAATCATGTAAAAATAGAATCTAGTGGAGGAGGAGAGAGATTTCCCTTTCCCACTGAATTGTCCTCCAGAAATGCCCCAAAACCAAAGTCATAACAAGAGTAACAAAGACACCTTCCACACAGCTGTATAATATCCCATATTATCTGCTTTGAACTGGGTTATATGGCAGTGTGGACTTAGATGTTGTTGTTGTTGTTTATTCATTCAGTCGCCTCCCTGTTCAAAGCAGATATTGTGGATTATCTGCCTTGATATCCTGGGGTTATATAATCATCATCATCATCAACAACAACAAGAACAACAACAACATCTTTATTTATATCTTGTCCTATCTCCCTGAGGGGACTCCACATATGGCTGTGTGGAAGAGGCCAAAGTGGGGTGTTTTTTTTTTATTTCTGGAGGAAAGTCTGTAGCATTTGCCTGCATCACATTGGATTTAATTCACTGATTTTTAAAGGGTCCTTGTTAATACTTACTTCCCCACTTTTCTACTAATTGCTTCAGTATAGTATTTTTGGTGGCTTTATTCAAAAGATATCTTTATAAAACGCTATACATTATCTAAATGTGTGATACTTCACTTTTATAATTAAATAGAAGATACAAAATTAAATCAGAAAATGAATAAATTACTAAAATGAAAGACATTTTAAGAACATAGCAATAAAAGAAAAAGAAAATGAACAAAATCTGGCTACCAGTATTAAAAAACTCAAAAATTACAACAGCAAAACAGAGGGAAACAAACAGGCACATAAAATCACTCTCAACAAAAGATTCCCCTCAGACACTTCCAAGCCATTGAATGCTAATCAAGGTGATCAGCTGAAACATTCACACCTAGCCCCAGCAGACAAAAGTCCTTTGTCTCACCCTGGTCATTCCACAGATATATAAACCCACTTTTTCCTACTTCCAACAGACCTCACTACCTCTGAGGATGCTTGCCATAGATGCAGGCGAAACGTCAGGAGAAAAATTGCCTCCAGAACATGGCCATATAGCCCGGAAAAACCTACAACAACCCAAAAGAAAATATAGTTTATTCTTAACTGAAAACCCATTTTACTTGCCATAGAAGTGAGATCACTTGCCAAAGGCCTGCATGAGGAAAACAAATATTTGTCTGCTAATAGACATAAAAATAGACATTGACTATTCTAAAGCCTTTGACTGTGTGGATCATAATAAATTGTGGCAAGTTCTTGGTGGGATGGGCATACCAAGCCACCTTGTCTCTCTCCTGAGGAATCTGTACAAGGACCAAGTAGCAACAGTAAGGACTGACCACGGAACAACAGACTGGTTCAAGATTGGGAAAGGCGTATACGGCAAGGCTGCATACTCTCACCCAACCTATTCAACTTGTATGCAGAACACATCATGCGATGTGTGGGGCTTGACAAATGCAAGGCTGGTGTGAAAATTGCTGGAAGAAACATTAACAACCTTAAATATGCAGATGACACCACTTTGATGGCTGAAAGCGAGGAGGAGCTGAGGACCCTTCTAATCAAGGTGAAAGAAAGCGCAAAAGCTGGGTTGCAGTTAAACATGAAAAAACCAAGACTGGCAACAAGACTGATTGACAACTGGGAAATAGAGGGAGACAACATGGAGTCCGTGACACACTTTGTATTTCTAGGTGCGAAGATTACTGCAGATACAGACTGCAGCCAGGAAATGGGAAGATGTTTACTTTTTGGGAGGAGAGCAATGACCAATCTCGATAAAATAGTGAAGAGTAGAGACATCACACTCGCAATGAAGATCCACATAGTTAAAGCAATGGTAATTCCCGTAGTAACCTATGGATGTGAGAGCTGGACCATAAGGAAAGCTGAGCAAAGGAAGAACTGTGGTATTGGAGGAAAGTTCTGAGAGTCCTTGGACTGCAAGAAGATCCAACCAGTCCATCCTCCAGGAAATAAAGCTCGAATGCTCATTGGAGGGAAGGATACTAGAGACAAAGTTGAAGTACTTTGGCCACATCATGAGGAGACGGCAAAGCCTAGAGAAGACAATTATGCTGGGGAAAATGGAAGGAAAAAGGAAGAGGGCCGACCAAGGGCAAGATGGATGGATGGCATCCTTGAAGTGACTGGACTGACCTGAAAGAGCTGGGGGTGGTGAGCCAACAGGGAGCTCTGGCGTGGGCTGGTCCATGAGGTCACGAAGAGTCGGAGACGACTGAACGAATGAACAACAAGACATAAAAAAGAGACAAACAGTCTAATGTCCCTCAACAGGGAATTCCATAACCTACCAATGGCATTGCTTGCTTGCTAGATTTTTTTTATGGTATCAGAACTACTTGAGAAAGTGCAAGTTGCTTCTAGTGTGAGAGAATTGGTCATCTGTAGAGATGCTGTCCTGGCGACACCCGGATGTATTACCATCCTGTGGGGGGCTTCTCTCGTGTCCCCGCATGGGAAGCTGGAGCTGACAGACAGGAGCTCCTTCCGTCTTGCAAATTCAAACCGCCTACAGGTCAGCAGTTCAGCCCATTGTGCCACCACGGATCCTGAGGAATACAGTACATCAAGTCATCTGGATCCATGTCAGAGGGAAACATTGGACATCATTTTTGTTTTTGTTTATGTTATTTATTTATTTATGTTTGTCAAAACTTAATGGTGATTTCTTTTAAGTGAAACTGATGAGAGATCCATACTTAGAAACGGACTTAAGGTTTTTAAAGTGCCAGTTGCCAAAGCAATATATTTTGTCTGATTGCAGGGATCTACTCATGCTCATGCTTTGAAAAGCCTTCAATAGTTTTAACATGTTTGAATTAAAAACGAAAAGAAGTTTTTAATTGGTGAATACAGAATCACTGCATTGTAAATTAATGGGAATCTCAGTGTAATACCTTCATGCTAAATATTCCATCCATTTGAAAATTATAAAAAGCATGCCTATTTTTAAAAACAATTTGTAAATTTTGCTATTTCTACATAATGAAGTAAATATTGAGGCTTGATGTTATGACCTGTCATATGGTTGTGTAAGACAATCTCTAAAACAAATACATACAGCTTTAATCAATTCACAGTGATTTAATTTCAACACAAATAGCTACTAATATATATTTTGCATTCTTGCCCATAATCTGATACTAGTTTTTGGTAATCATTGCCAGGGATTTTAAAACAGCACCCGCAGCGCAGTCTCACAATTCTGTGCTTTATGTCATATTTCTGTTAAGGTCTCAAGGGAACGTAAGGTCAGATATTTGAACATTATTACCAACACCTTTCATTTAAGTGGCCACTAGAGGCTCCCACAAAACAGTGGTCACATCTCAGTCTATAGCTTGTAAATAGTGTTAAGTTCTAAAACCTTGAATCAAAGCAGTTAAACGTAGGGTTTGCTTTAGATTATTGTGGTTATTGGCTCAAAACAGCAGTTTGCAGGGCTACATGTATTATTTGCTTGGAATTTGCATGTTTTGTATTATATTAGTATGTGTATGTGGGACTTATCAGTATGCCTGATGAATTTAATGGGGGAAATGAACTATGGAAATATGGTATACATCTATGAGATCACAAATGGCTCTTTTCCTTTATTAAAATAATGAGTACTCATATTTGAAAAGTTAAAATAGCAGAGGATAATAGGCATGCTCTGGGAAACGTGGTTTGTTCTGCATTTTACTCGCTTCAATTTAGCATCTGAAAAGTACCATTGGAAAACTGTCGGATCTTCATGTTTGTTATGGAAAGGAATTAATATTGATTGATATATTTCCCCTGTTTTTGATAGAAGAATGCACAAATGAATACTGCATCAAATCAAAGGGCACAAAGTATTTCAAGTTGAATTTTAATTGTTTTTAATATAATAACAGTAACAAATTCAAACAATTCACATGCTTTAGTTTTTAATCATTATATAACAAGGGGAATTTTCTATGAGTCTTCAGACTATTTGAAATTTAGATTGTTTCTGAATCATCAATAAGATAAAGGAAATGTCTGCTTTATGGACCGTTTGACATTTTTCTTTTCCTGCACATTATATATTTTTAATCTTTGCCAACAGAGCTATTAAAGAACTAATAATTGAAATAGGTCCTGGATGTCCCCATTTATTTGAAAGAACTAATTTTCACTCAAATTGTTGACTGCATGAGTTCAACTTTAAGCATTGAATAGTTCTTCTGAAAAGTTACAACCTTGGTATATTTTTAAAAGCCACCTGTTGTGACATGCAGCAGTACAAAGGCATTAATAATTATTGATAAATTTTCCCTGTTTTTGGTAGAAGAATGCACAAATGAATACTGCATCAAATCAAAGGGCACAAAGTATTACAAGTTGACTTTTTTTCATGTCAGAAGCGACTTGAGAAACTGCAAGTCGCTTCTGGTGTGAGAGAATTGGCCTTCTGCAGGGACATTGCCCAGGGGACCCCGGATATTTTACCATCCTGTGGGAGGCTTCTTTCATGTCCCCGCATGGGAAGCTGGAGCAGACGGACAGGAGCTCACCCCATCTTGTGGATTCGAACCGCCGACCTTCCGCTCAGCAGTTCAGCCGACACAAGGGTTTAACCCATTGTGCCACCATGGCTCCCCTCAAGTTGACTTAAACTGGGTGGTCTGTAGCCAGAGAAACTATCATTTTTAATAAGTCTCTTTCTAATAGTACCTTGTCTGAGTTGAAGACCAGAATTGCAAGTTCCATTGTCATCCTATTTTGTTTCATATCTAACAGGAAAACCACAGTTCTCTTCTGGAATGGCTTGAAGCAAATGTGAATGCAGCAGGATTAATTACTTCCAGCAAAGTATCCCTTAAGTTTATATCATCTTGCAGCATGGAGACAGAAATAACACCCTCATTTATGCCAGTCATCACTGAGATGAAAGATTTCTCATCTGTCCATTTCAGCCTCGACCGATATAAGCAGAATCTACATACACAGAATCTTGGGAAAGTGGTTCTATTTACTGAGGTTACATCAAGCACGATGGATCTGCTTGATGGGTAAGTAATCATACCAACATTAATTTCAGTTTATGTACTATGACTGATAACATGTTGGTGCACTATACTGATGCAAGTATACCAGTGTGGCAGCCAATAAGAAGAGGTCATACGTGCAGTATCTGCAAGAAAAGGCAAAGTATTCATAATTGGAGAGGAAATCTGCTTCCTGAGTGCAGCCTTTTTCTACAATGCAGTAACTTGGGTAAATTGTCAAAGCCGCATCATTTCTAAAGGGTAGGTTGGAAGAATGCATATTCTGTGGACAGATGTTACAGACCTACGCTGATCTGAAGTGACTATACTGTTATCCTAGCATAAAATTCCAACAGGATTTCAGCCTTTATGTGGTAAAAGGAAGTGGAAATTCATAGGAGTTATTGGGGTTTCCACTTTCCCAATCTTATTGGGAAAAGATTTAACAGCAGGAGGGGAAAGATCCAATCACTTTATCTGTAAGCTTACTAAAACAGGTTATGCAAATATTTAAAAGACAGATTATTGCATATAAAATCATCTTTCTAAATCACAGACTACAATAATTAGAAGAATGTGCACTACTCCAGTATAGTTTCTTTGTATTTTGACATATAATCTTAAGATTCACAGAGGTCATAGTAAAGTTAAATCTAGTCATGTCTGATTCTGGGGTGTTGGTGCTCATCTCAATTTCTAAGCCGAAGAGCCGGCATTGTCCACAGACACCTCCAAGGTCATTTGGTCAGCATGACTGCATGGAGCGCTGTTACCTATTGATCTACTCACTTTTGCATGTTTTCAAACTGCTAGGTTGGCAGAAGCTGGGCCTAACAGCGGGAGCTCACCCCACTCCCTGGATTCAGCCCTCCCACTTTTCATTCAGCAAGTTCAGTAGCTTAGCGGTTTAACCTGCTGCTCCACCAGGGGACCCCACAGAGGTCATAATGAATCATAGAATCATAGAATCAAAGAGTTGGAAGAGACCTCATGGGCCATCCAGTCCAACCCCCTGCCAAGAAGCAGGAATATTGCATTCAAATCACCCCTGACAATGGCCATCCAGCCTCTGTTTAAAAGCTTCCAAAGAAGGAGCCTCCACCACACTCCGGGGCAGAGAGTTCCACTGCTGAACGGCTCTCACAGTCAGGAAGTTCTTCCTGATGTTCAGATGGAATCTCCTCTTTGTAGTTTGAAGCCATTGTTCCGCGTCCTAGTCTCCAGGGAAGCAGAAAACAAGCTTGCTCCCTCCTCCCTGTGGCTTCCTCTCACATAGTTATACATGGCTTATCATATCTCCTCTCAGCTCTCTTCTTCAGGCTAAACATGCCCAGCTTTAAGCCGCTCCTCATAGGGCTTGTTCTCCAGACCTTTTATCATTTTAGTCGCCCCCCTCTGGACACATTCCAGCTTGTCAATATCTCTCTTGAATTGTGGTGCCCAGAATTGGACACAATATTCCAGATGTGGTCTAACCAAAGCAGAATAGAGGGGTAGCATTACTTCCTCAGATCTAGACACTATGCTCCTATTGATGCAGGCCAAAATCCCATTGGCTTTTTTTGCCGCCACATCACATTGTTGGCTCATGTTTAACTTGTTGTCCACGAGGACTCCAAGATCTTTTTCACATGTACTGCTCTCGAGCCAGGCGTCGCCCATTCTGTATCTTTTCATTTCATTTAATGCAAATTAATGAAGTATTAATTCCTGATTCAGCAGCTAAGAGGAAATCCATACACACTTATAGCTTTTTGTATTGCATAGTGGTAGTGAATTTTTGCCCATATAAATTGGTGGTAGGAATGACAAAGGGTACTTTATCTTTGAGGTGGTCTGATCTTTTCCTGTTCCTCAAAAGTTAGATGCCTAAAGTATGTAAGTGCTGTCCCCCAGCCATGGTGGTAGCTGTTCTGGCTGCACAGATTCAGCATTATCTCTCAGTGTTTTGAAAAGGTACCGTTTGTTGTCAAAATCAACAGCCCAGTGATATCCTGTGCTCTACTGTTGAGGTATACTGTTTTGTGGTAAGACTAAAATGAGTTACAAGTTTGAACTAGACCAACTAGGATTGAATGCAGTTGTCAGTTCCAGCTAGAATAGATTGATCTATATAAGGTTCATTGAGTTGTTGGGTCTGCAATGAAAACTGGATTTAGGCCAGATGTGGCCCTCCAGATGTTATTGGACTACAACTTGTATCAGCACTTACCAACATAATGAATGAGGAAGAATGTTAGAAGTTCCCGTTCAGCATCTAAAATTCAGCACACCTTGTTAGTGCATTACACAGATGTAACTATGCCACCAGATAGAGTCTGCCCTGAACTATTGGATTGTAACTACAAGCAAGATTTAGTTTTCAAGATAAGCTTTTATGTTTTTATTCAATGTATTTTTTTATTCCCTAACTTAGGTTTATGAAACATCTTTGACCTCTTTGGTGGAAAGGCTAATAACATACTAGAAATTTCATGTGGCAGGCATGTCCTGTAGCATGTTTCCAGCTTGACCCTTTTTCTTGGTTGCACAACAAATCTTGGTTTCATATCCTTCCTGGATAGATCCTGAAGTTTTATTGCAGATGACTGTGGTTGGTGTCTACAGTCCTTCTACCCACGGACCTATGTGAATGATGTGTTGTCTAAATTCTTTTTCCTCTAATTTATCTGTTGCATTCCAAAACAGCGGTTGTGAGGCACATAAGGGCATTTGAACCCATGCTTATCAAATAAGACAATCAGATGTGTAAGATCAGCAGGATTGTCGAAATGGAACCAAAACAGACCCTTGAGTTAATGTACACTGATGGGTAGGAGGAAGATCTAGGTTTGTATTGTTTTATTGTTTTTATCATTTTATTGATCTTATTGGATAATGCTGAATTGTGGGAATTTGTATCGTTGTACTTTGTGATGATTGTTTTGTATGGCAGGTGTCTAAGTGCGCCTTGCAGCTGTAAGCCGCCCTGGGTCCCCTTCGGGGTGAGAAGGGCGGGGTACAAGAACCCCAAATAAATAAATAAAATAAATATCACAGTGTTTAGGAATTAATAGTGGGATTAACATTGATGGGCATTAGGAAGAGGTGTGCAGGGACATGAATACTCTTTTCTTAGCATTTGTATGATTTCCAGCTATGTGTTTGTCCTTTCTGAGTTTGAGCCTACGTATAAATTGGTAACTATTCTCAAACACAGTAATGGCATATTTCTTCCCATCTCAGTGTATACAACGGCATTCTTTCTGACATTATAATATTAAAACCTGATGCTTAGCATGAATATCTGCATTATATTTTATTACTAGTCCATGTGGATGATATAATAAGTTCCAACTGTGCCGCATTGGCAATGCAAACTGTGCATTTATTCTAAATATAGGGCCACTATTGCTTGAATTCTGTCATATAGGAAGACAGCATTTATAATGGTTGAGTTATTACCAGCAAGGAATTATCCTTCTTTTTAAATGTAAGGTTTGAACAGGGTTGTTTAAATGGTCTAGCATTGCTTTAATATTGAGATGCAGCTAAATATACAGTGGAAGGGCTGGTTTTACCATAGAAAAGCATGGATGCATGAAAACTTGCCTGTGTGAAGTTTAGGTGTTAATTTAGTTAGGAGATTTATTAGTTTGGATTGTGCCATTCATTGCTGCTTCCCTTGCTAAATGGTGTGCGTTTTTATGTACATAAAGCTATTCATTCTGTGGAGTGCTTTGAGCCTTATGAAATCTAGCAGCTGAATATTAATGTTGATCCAAAGTTAACTACAGAAATTCCTAAAGAACTTCATAAAAATGTGTGCACATGTGCTAATTTATGACTTACTGAAATCTGCCTGTGAAAAATTAATATTCAAAATTTTGTTTTTGCTTATTTAGTATACCTAAGAGAATGAGTGATGGTTTTAACAGTTCAATATTTCATAGCCCAGACACTGATCTGCAACACAGAATATTGCACTGTTCCATTAGTAAATATAAACAAGTGTCTGCAAGGCTATTGCTTGGCTAGACCGGGGCCGCCAAGTATGCTCCTCTTGGTTTCCCAGCAGAAAGATATATGTATAATAAATGCACCTATGATCTCTTTTTGAACACAAGATAGGAACAAGGAGAACAAGGGTGAACTATAGGGACTGGCAGCCATGATGCATTCTTTCTCTTGTTTGCTCCTTTTCTTTCTCACTGTTCCGCTATACATCTCACAGTTGCATCCCTTCTATGAATATGTAGAGGTATATGAATATTKAGGTAGATAGGTGAAAATGCTGATACCTTTTCTTTTTGAATATAGAAAAAGGTGGATTGTTAAATTTAAAATGATGGGGGGGGGGGGGAGTCTTCAGGATTTTCATATATTTCCTCCCCCACGTTATTTCTAAAAACTATGTAGAAGATAGAAGTTTATATAAGATTATGTACAATATACCACAACATTGTTAATTCCTAAACTTTATTTTCTTTTCTCAGTTCTTTTATTGGGGATGAATGAATTATGTCTGCTTATTGATGGGAAAAATAGAAGAGACACGAGTCATTTTCTCTATTTTATCAATACTGACCTGTTGCATTCTGGCTCTCTCCTTTTGGAGGAGGGCTGCCCCTTATAAATTGGCAAAAGTAAAGAAGTTCCTTACAGTTCAGGATTTTGTAGCGCCAGCTGGCATTTATTTCTTTGTTTATTTATTACTTTTATATGCTGCCTTCTTCATAGGGTAGAGCCCAAGGCAACTTTCAAAAGAATTGAAAATATTAATAAGAGAAAGAAAAGCACAAATATGTTAGCAGTACTTTAAAAATATTGTAAACGTATATTAATTGATATCAGTATTTGTTTTTATATTATTTGTGAATTATATTTGTAATGTATTTCCTATATAAATGTCAGACATAATACTTTGAATATGTCAGACATAATACTTTTTTGCCAATCTAGGTTATGAATATTGCATTTTATGCTTTTAAAATAATAAAGTGCTTTAAAATCTATAATGACTTCTAATATTGCAATTCCAAAAA